CCCCAAGCATGCACACTTAAAAAAAAAAAAAAAAAAAGCCTTGACTATATCAGTCCATTGGGCTGTCATGTACCTCTGGCCATAATTGCTACTGGGAACCTGTTGTGTCTTTTAGGGATCTCTCATTAGAGGAGCAGACCTAATGTCAGTCTAAGTAGGCTTAAGGAACAGAGAAATCTGATTGCCTGCTGCCTGAAAATGTCCTTGGAAGGAAATGTTTGTAAGACATCTCATACGGACACTAGTTTATTCATATGAAGTCTGGTCTCTGTTTTTTGGAATGTATGACTGCCACTAGTCTTTTTTTGCTGGTTCTTGTGATCATGTGGCTGTCAAATGATGATTTTTTTTTTATATAGTTATTATGATTCAGACACTGTCCTTCACTGACTAAATTACTTCAAATGGCTTGATAAGGTCTAATAAGTGCACAAGGTTGTGTTGAACTCAGCTTTGAACACCAGGCGTTTTCTTCCCTATTTTTAGCTGTTTTGATTAATTTCAACACTTATTTCTTACTAATGTAACAGGAGAGGAAGTAAATATTGCTTACTTTGCTTCCAGGAGAAGTGTCTGTATTGTGAAATAAAAGCCCAAAGTTGAAATCTGTGTTAACCTAGAAACCTGAATACAATTCTTCCTTAACCAAAGCCTTTCAAATGTTGACGTTCTTTCTTATCTAGGCCAATAACAAAACCAAAACCCACAGCACTATGAGTAACAGGGCTAAAGAACAACCATCATTCAACAGATATTTCTCACATGAAAAATGTTTACAACTGTATTTTACACCTGTACCGGTAGGTGTTTGTACATTTGGTTGTATTTGTACAAGGAGTTTCACATGGATTAAGGCACAGAGCTCATTTAGGATAAACTCTCCCATGAAACAGCAACATTTATGTTTTCTGCCATGTAGTCTCTAGGTATGGTGTGGTGCGTGTGATTCTTCCCCCCCCCCCCCTTTGGGTCACTGCCACAGCCATGATTTCTTCCTTAAACTTGCTATATGATACTGTCTAGAGTGAATTTCATTGACTTGCTTAGAAAGTTTCTTTTGTGTTCCTATTCTCTGGCCTTTGTATACCTATGTACCCATTCATGTTTACACTATGAACTCCTTGAGGCAGAGACGTCCCCTTCTTGAATGGGGGTGCAGTGAGTGCTAACTTGGGCAAATAATCTTCTTTACTGTATTTTATATATCATCAAACATAACAGCAGCTGGAGACATCTCCACATGTGGCAGCCTCTGCTTCTGTTAAGACGCTTGCATGGGGGAGGGAAGGGAGCCCCCTCACTTCAAGGGCCCAGTCTGACTCCCCCCAAGACTCTGGTAGGGGTAGCTGGGGGGCACTGCATGGCAGGTGGGGCTCCCTTCCCTCACCCCACCTTTCTTCCCCAGCTGTACAGGGAGGAGACAGAGGCTTTCTGTGTTTTCTTTGTGACAGCCCCTGGAGCCATGCTGAGCTGGTGCTGGAGCACTAGTCCATCCCACAAAACCACATGGGATGTGTCGCAGAATTGCCTGAAATTAACCCTCACAGAGATCCCATGGCACTGTTCCTTACAGTGTCCCTGTCTGATACTTCATCAGATGAGGGTTACATTTTTGCACAATCATCCATTTTAAAAGTGCTCTGTAGCTGTGAATGTTTGTTAGGTTATGGCTGTAAAGCGTTTTCTGGGGCCTTGTCATGTGAAAAAATTTAACTTCTGTAAATGCCCGAAGTGTAGTCCTTAGAAACACAGTTTGACTTAATCTCTTTAATTCAAGGTCACATCCTGTTGATTTTTGCTTATGTCTGTGATCCCAGTGGTATAGATCTTCAGCTTTTTAGAAGGCAGCTGAAGGTATTGAGAATCTGGCCTACTGACTTCTGGGATGACTTCTGAAAGGCTTAAAGCCTGTAAATTTGCCAAGAACTTTTTTCACTCCCAGTGACTCAGATGAGATCGTTTAACATCTCACACATTTGGGCTGTTGTTTTTTCTATTGGGTGGTGTAATTCACTGAAACTACCTTCAATTTTCTGTTGGATTGCCAAGCTTTTAAAGAGCAAATTAGTGCTTCTTGTAACTTGCATATTGTTTTAGAAATGCCTTGTGAGAATCACCCAGGCACTTTCTTTATACTGATGACAATCTGAAACCCATTATTGTGGGAAATTTTAACTGTGGCAAAACGATTATATTGTATTGTATTGCAGTGTCCAAGTACGTGACTTTAATCAAGCTGCTTAGAGGATTGGATCACCTCCCTCTAGATAGGAGAGATCTCAACTGCCTGTTAAGGCCCTACTCGGTTGTGAAGCATTCAGTACTACCACATGGCTTGCTAATGAATTGAATTTGAGTGTGTTGCTATGGCAAGAAAATTATTTCCTTTTAAGAAATAAAAAAACATGCATTTTGCTTTCATATTAAAATATGTATGGTGACAGGTTCCTCATCATTCCCTTTGATTAAACATTCAGGGAGGGGGTGAGTGAGGCCTAAATATTGTGTTCTTTCTTTTGGGACCTGGCTTAATATGTGGAATGGATTGTATTGTCCATCTACTGCCTTTCTGCTGGAAATCTGTACCTCTTGATTTCTTTGCTCTTAAATAAGTTGCAAATGAGCATCTGAGAGAAAAGAGTAGTTTTTGGCCTGTAACATTAGACTGGGAGGATTCTACTCCTGGCTTCACCCAAAATTTTGGTTTTGGGTAAGATGTTTAACGTTTTTTTTTTTTCTTCATTTCTGTCTAATGAGGCTTAGGAACTTATTTAATGTATTGTAAAGTGCCTGGATATCCACAGATGAAAGATATTGCTTTAACTCAAAAATGTCTGACTCGTGGACTGTATGTGGCCTGCAGGCTTCTCCCTGACCCCATTGTTGTTCCTGCCATGGTAGCTAGGTTCTTTCTGCTCTTCTTCCTCCTCTGACTTTTGCTTCCTTCCTCTGTTCCTGGGACTGGGTACTGTGGCATGAGGAATTGGGGTGCTTGTGCTGTACATGTGGCAGGGGAGGGGGCCAGGCTGTTGTGCTGCGGTATAACAAAGGAAGGAGCCAGGTGGGCATCATGTGCAGCTGGGAGCGGAGAGTTTGCTGTGTGTATGGTAGGGGAGAGAGGGGCATGTGGCAGGTATGGCTGGGATGAGAGCAGCTAGACTGCCTATGCTGAGCACACCGTGAGGTAGGGGGAGGCATGCTGGGCTGCGTTAATGGCAGGGGAGAGCCCAGAGGGGCTCTTAGGTGGCAAATAGCCCTTGGGTCTGGTCTGTGCCTTGTGTAACCCCTAGGACTACAACCTGCAATGGAGGCTGCGTCTACATGTCACCCAACAGTAATGCAGCCATGTGCTACGGTGATGTAGTGATCATTTGTCTACATATGATTACCAGCTATGTTGCTGTAAGGAAGTACTAAAGCACGGCGCTGTCGCAATGGTACTAAAGTACGGCGCTGGTGCCATTGCTGTACAGCAGTGTGTAATTGTGCCCAGAGAGAAACAAATCCAAATAATGCTAAAAAGAAATAGATCATGGCCGATCAGTGATATGCCCATATAATAAAAACAGTCAAAAGTTGGGGAAAGGCTCCAAGAGTTTAAATTCCTATTAACAGTTGTTTTTAACTCTGTGCTTGGCTAATCCTGAGAGCTATAGGAAAGCATTGATGACTATACAGTCTAGAACAGCTACTCCCAGAGCACTCAAGATTTTAAAAGTAGTGATAGTGGAATCTGCAGCTGACTCACACTGCAGGTCTATGTGAGTAGGTGGCTAGAGAAGCTTTTCCCTCTCCCATGTGTTTTCATGACTGAGAGAAGATTCCTGAGCCTCTGCCACAGACTTTTGACTTGCATGAGGGGAAAACCAGAGAAAGTTATGGTGGGAGGGAAAGTGGAAGTGTCCTCCCATGTTTCAGATAAGTACCTGACTGAAGGTAACAGAACCTTTGAAGTTCTGCAGAATTTTCTTTTGGTAACGAATGAAGTCTGTGGTATGGTTCATGTGCTCCAAGTTAAGTCTCATTGAATCAAGACCCAAAAATGTAGATCTGTTGTGTCTTTGTCAAAGTGGGCAATGTGCTTTGGGTGTAGTGTGGCTCAAATGCATTAGTGTTGTGAATAAAGGGAGAGATCTTGGAGTGGGTAAAAGAGAAAGGGAAATCACTTGAAAAGAAGTCTGGGCAAACTGGAGGGAACAAAAGGAGATGGGGGTTGGGGGTAGGAAGGCAGAATTGTTGGCATAGGGCAAATTGAGGTAGTGCATGCAAACTGAGTTGAGCAAGATGGTTTAAAAAAAAATCAAAATCCCCATTTTTGTGTGTGTGTGTGTCT